CTTAATTAGGTGTCCGAATCCTGGTATCCTGTTCAGCTCCATAGCGTCCACTGACGCAATCTCTAGCCAAACTTCAGCTGCCCTCCGAAGCTCAACACGGAATGCGGATGTCCATTATTGCTGCACAAGGCCAAAAGAAACATAAACAAAAAAGTGTCAGCAGAAACTGAAATCTCCTCGATCTAATGATGGTACTTGGATTCTCGAAGTGGGAGGATGCTGGTGAAGCTGGCAGAGTCTTCTGAGTGAGGTCTCAGGGCTTCCGAGTGCAAGCAGCAATCAGTGCGGCAGTGTACGGAGAATCCGAGCAACTGATGTCCAAGCAGTTTCCGGCCTTGCACCTGCTGCGAAACCACTGGAAACCAGGGACACTACCCGACCAAACAGGGGTCACTCGACAGCAGACCGCAGAGATGAAGCGTGCGCATGGCCTCCAGGCTGATGCGGTTGAACTCCTCGAAACCGCACCAAGAACCGGAGAATGCGTTGCCTTTGAAAAGCCTTTCCAAGCTGACAAAGTCAACCTAACCTGGACAAGAAGCTGAGGCAGGTGCTCTGAAGCCTCTGCTTGATTCGACTGCATGGGGCACTGGGGTACGCCCGGAACCGGCACGCTGGGCCCTATGCTGAGTGGCTCGAGTTTTGGTTCGGGGTTTTGCTTGACCTTTGTTCTGGGCTCTGGCTTGGAGAGGTTTCTGGCTGCGTACAGAAATGCTTCCCCCTGCACGTTACCTACAGTCTACAAACGATGCCTACTTGGATCCTCAGGGTTAGATGCTTTAGAGTGGAACGGACCCGCACAAGTACGAAACACCTCCGGGCAGATTTCACTGCAAAGCGCTTGAAATCTAGACTGTAGGCCTACTTCGGTGCCTCTTTGACCATGGTTGGGATGCCTACACTTTGACTGAAGCCCAGTCGACAGTAGCTTGCAGCAACTAAAACAGGTTAAAGGACCATCGGTAGAACTCATGCGTGTTTCGGTGTCCGGCGCAGGTCACCACACTCAAACAAGACGTTGCGACTGCGAGCCTACCAGAATCTCGGAAAGCAGAGATCCCTGAGAGAGCAGACTAAATACCCTGCGAATACACTAAATGCACTTGTTCAAGGTGCCCTGGGATACGAACACGAACACACTTTTCTCTTCCATGTCCTCTTGTGAGAAGCAGCGTCTTTAGCCAAGGTGCGAATTTAAAGCTCCGGGTGAAACGAAGTTGATGTCAGCTTCCGTTGAGCTTGAGCTGACATGAGCAGGCAACCTGCTGAGGGAAGCTTGGCAAATCGGCATTGTCCAGGCAATTTTGAAGGTCATCTCAGCAGTCCTTATCCAGAATTTTGTGCGCCTCCACAAACGGACAGTACCATTCTCACATAGCTGAAAGCAAATCAAAGCCAAGGACCCACTTGCAGAAGTCAGCTGGTGGAATCAAAGTTCACGGAGCTGGAATTCAACAACGGGCCTCCGCCGTCCAAACTTCTGCGCAGTCTTTCCTGGTGCTCTGCAGGGATGCCGCCCGCGCCCCGCAATCGGGGCCAGGTGCCATCACTCAGCTGCTGCCAGGCCGAGGATGGGATGGCATCGCAATTCGTGAAATCGACGCCCTGAACAGATAAAAGCAGTAGCTACACGTCAGTCACTGACCCTTCGGTGGCGACCCCCGATGTTTCCCTCTCAAATGTCTTCTCACATCTGCGCATGCCCTGAAAAGCACCAAGCCACGTAGTCATGAGCAAAACACCCTTGTCCTATGCATTTTTCTAGCCGTGTTCCCGCGTCCTGCAGGTCTCTGCAT